TTCAACCATTATTCTTCTTAATAAATGAAAGTTTTTTTTTACCACGTGTCAATCTCTAATGAATTTTGATACTTATCATTTTGTGGTATTTTTGAAATATATATTATCCACTTGTCAATTTTTGGTTTGTTTTAATTTTTAAAATTAAAATAATATACTTATATATGTAAATTATTAAATATCATATATATGATATTAAATTGCAATAAATACATTTATTCCTTTTTTATTTTAAAGTTGTACAATAAAAGATATTTTTGATTGCACCCTAATTTAATGTTTAAACTTTTTTTTAAATGAACTCGTGTAATACACGAGTATCAAACCTAGTAGAAATATATAGATTTAGAAGTAGATTAGCAATGTATGAGTTTGATGATAAAAAAAAATAATAATAAAAATATTTGTGAAGTCAATGGATTTATGTGGAAACAAAATGTGATTTTATACTAATGGTATTTAAAATATTTAAGTTGAACGACCATATGTGATATGTGATTTAGAGGAAATTAATGTAGAAAAAAAGTCGTTTGATGAAGAAAATGAAGGGTGTAGATTAGTCAATCTAATTTCAATTAGGAACATCATAGTACCCTTGTGAATCTTTTGTTGAGAATGATTGTACATAGGTATTCTAAAACTCAATTGTGAAGTAATCACTGTATGTTTATTATGTATTTTAATGTTTAGAGAAAAATATAAAGTTTTTGTCTATAGCAATGTGATCATTGCAAGATATACTATGAAGAAAGACGTGTTAGGTATTTAGTAGGTTTTACATAGCTTACCATTATTTATATTTCATGCTTGGAGGTATTGGTAACAAAGGTAATAAGTTGGCTTGACTTGAAGAAACTTGGCAAGATTTAGAATATAATCTCCTTCGTAATTTTTGATGCATTTATCGAAATGTAACACCTCTTTGGGTTAACATTTTGTTGTAAATCATGGTTCTGATATGCTTGTATCCTTAGCTAGTTTAGTGTACACCTCATGTTTATGTTAAATGTTTCAAAATCAAGGAACCATATTTTGATGTTAATAAATGTATAACGCTACACATATCAATATTTATTGGAAAACCTTTGTTTGGATTATTTCATTGTTTGTTGTTATAGAAGATATGTTTTGCATTAGAAGATATGTTTTGCATTATTCTTGGTTATTGGAGTTTCAATTCAATCTTTTCACTCTCATAATGTGCATGTAAGAAACCATCACCAGGACATTATTTTTATGCGTCACACATTATAATCCCTTTAAACGTTGTCAATCTTTTTACTATCACAATGTGCATACACATAACCATCATATAAAGAGGCTTCATTTATATCCACTCGATTGAATACATCACAATTAAAGGATCCATTGCCTTTTGACCATAAACAGAAACCCCACAACACATGCCTTTAAAGCTATGCCTTTCAAGTCTTCCTCCAAGCTTTTAGCTCTACTTTAGTGGCAAATTCCAATCTGGCTGATAGTTTTCTTGTTTAAATATTGAGTTAACGAAAACTAAAATACTATGATTAAATTATTAATTGGAAAATTTTGCCCATTTTTATTGTTTCGTAAATTTTTTTGAATGATAAATACAAATATATATATATATACTAAATGACTCCTAAATTATTTCACCAATGTCTACAGTAAGACTTGAACCCTCGATCTCAAGGAGAAAGGAAAACATCGGATAGCGCTGGGCTAGAATCCGTATGGTTTTGTAAATATTAACGAAAATTTGAATTATTATTTTTATTTTAATAAAAGTAGTTTTGAATCGAATGCGAAAACTCATACGTGAGTAAGGTGCTGTTTGTTTTTTGGAAAAAAAAAAAAAAAAACATCTTCAGACCTCTTATTGTTGTGTGACGCAGCACACACGCATCACTTTTTATCTCGCAGTTGTTTGTTTTTCAAAAGTCTTCGAATTAAAAAAAAAATTGTGTGTGTTCTTCTTAGCGCAACACTTGTTTGGCCTCTTACTACCTATGCTTCTTCTTTTTTCTTGCTAAAATATTGATTATATATTTATGAAATCTTATTTCACTTTTTTTTTTGTTTATTCTTGTTTAATTTTTTTTTATATTGAATAATAATAATTTGTTGATAAATATCATTATTTTTTTTGTTAAAATATTATTATTTTTGCTGAAATATCATAAAATTTTACCGAAATGTTATACATTATTTAATTTTCTGTATTAAAAAATTATTTTCGAATTATAAAAGCAATTTATTTTAGTTTTTTAATATCTGCAGCAGCATGCAAATGTTAAAAAAACAAATACGCTTCTTATTACAGTCTGCAGTCATTTGGTCCACCTCTTCTACTGCAGAGAATTGCAAAGATAGTCCGCAGACTTTATGGATTTTTGCTTCAAAAAACAAAAAACACCTAAGTTATTATCCATGAGCACTTAAAACTATGAAAAATTAAACATAACATTTTGTTTATAAAACATAAACTAGTGCAAATGGAAAATAAAAAGATAAAACAAAACTTAAAACTCAAAAACAATAATTAAAATCCTAAAGTAATTACTTAAATCCTAAAACTTCCAACTATATTTTTTAGCAATTTGACGTTTCCTCTCAAATACCATTCGTATCAAACTTTCAGTCAAATCCTCATTCGGATTGAGAAAGTAATACATACATTGCTCATGCATTGCTAGTATCTTCTACTCCAGTAGTGCAACTTTATGTTGCTCCGTTGCTGCATGATGCATAATATTTCATCTCAATATTATTTTTTTCTCTTTTCTACCTTCGCTTTGCTTATAGTGTGGATTTTATTGACAAGATCTACTATATATGGCAGTTGTGAGGGTGTCGATGGGCCAGTTTCTTTCCATTTTTGTTTTCTCCAAGGTGGTGAGTCATTAACATGAATCACTTCCGGGCCATGACCAAATCCGGATGGAAATTATGCATCTAAAGAAATGGTTTCGGCATTGGAATTTGATGTTTTGATTCTTTTAGATAAAGCAAGCATGGATTCTTCAACGAGTTTTTTGACGTGCGACCATTTCGCTTGAAGTTTCATAACATCCCAAGTTGATTCATGATGAAAAGCTTTCATTTTATAAACTCATCGATACTTGTTTTGTGTCTATTTTATACCATTGACCTTATATCTCTTGTTTGCTTGCTAGATTTTTCAGCTTTTGGTTGTAGATGCGATTTAAATTTTTTTTGCATCCTTCCATTTGAAGTTCATTTTGTGCCTTGTATGATATAAACCTCCCATTTTTTCTTAAAATACTCTAAAACCCACTCCCAAAATGCATCCGGCCATTGTTGATTCCTGTGTTCTTTATCTTGGGATACGTCAATATACGCCTTAGCTAACAACACCTTTTTCCTGACATATTTCTGTTACTTTTTCCGTTTTTTACAGGCTTGTATGGTCATGGCAATAGGTTCATGTAAGTCGCTTGTTTGTTTATTTTGGACAGGAGCAGGTTCGTGACTATATTCTTCAGATTCTAGGTTTTGCGGTTCACAAAATTACGACAGTCTGAAAGTAGAATATATAAATTTAGTTTCTAGAATCGATTGAGAAAACTATTTATATAGATTTTAACCGGTATTTTCTAGTGGAATATGGAAGTGATTGTAGGATTGTTGCATCGAGTGTGAGTTGTACTGTTTTGATAGTGTTGGTATTATGGCTAGTCTAGGTTTTGGGTTTCCAAAATGGAAAATGGAAAATTTGGATAAGCGCTTTCGTTTTGTCAGTTGCATCTTTGGTTAAATCCTCATTTTTTGGATTTGCCACGAGAATCCATTTAGAATGGAACTGAATAAAGTGATAATGAAATTGAAGAGAAAATGAATGTATTTGAAGAAAGAAACAATGTAATTGAAAAGAATGTGTGGTTTATTAACTTATGACCTTTCTAAAAAGAGTTTTAAAAAAAATGTGTGGAATAGCTTTGTGGTGAGAAAATTCAATACTTTAAAAAGTATTTGGCCATCTTATACATGTATAAATGATCTTTTTCAAATAAGTCAATAAGTCATATGAAGATTGCAAAAGTTATGATTTTTTAAAAACTCATTTTCAAAGGCTTAAACATAAGCTGTTTTAAAAGATTTTTTTCCTTTGTCAAACACTTTATAAAACTTATTGACTTCTCAAGGTGTCAATAAATTAATAAGGAGTTTTTTTGATGAAATCTCAAACATGCTCTAAAATATTTGGAGTTTTAGGAATCTTGGTTGTTTTAAATAAAAGCTTTTGTTAAAATTAAAAAATATGGTTTTGATTTTAGAGATGCCACGGCCTTCTCTTACTCCTACTAACACTATGTTCCCTAGTCTAACTTAAGGGAGAAAAGAAGAGAAAATTTGATAAAGGTGAGGAAAAATCAATGTTCGTAACGGAAGGAAATCTAAAAAAAATGAAAAGATAACTTTCCTATCCTTCAAATTTGAATGGATTTGAAGAAAAAAAGAATAAATATTTATTTTCCTTCTATTTCTTTCAAACTCAAGAATACTAAAATACAATTTTCTTTTCTTTTTATTTCCTTTCTTTTCTTTTCTCATCATTTTCTTTCCCCTTTTTTTATTTTCTTTACTCAATATTTTCTTTCCCCTAGTTTTATTTTCTTTACTAAAACTCTAGAACAAGTTACAATATCAAAGTGTGCCATGCATTGGTGTCTGATAACTAATTTGAAGAGTAGTCATGTAACGTTAGTATGATTACAAACCCTAAACCCTAGCTTAAACCACTACACTAGGCTAAGAATTTTTTCCAACAAAATCACCAAAACAACAGTCAGATCGCAAAACTCGGTTTTCAGATTTGGTATTAACTTTCGGTTTCGATAATCCCAAATCAAACGGATATTAATTTTAGTATCATATAGGAGGAGCCTTCACAAGTCGCAACCAATCATCATCACAATTTTCTAAACTCAAGTAAACACGCAACCAAAGCATAATACACCCATGTAAAAAAAAAAAAAAAAAAAAAAAAAAAAAAAAAGTCTTCATTTGATTAATTTGGCTCGATCAAATCTACACTCTCCAAAGTCTCTAATTGTTAACAACTAAGCTTGTAATGAAGAAGACGATGTTTTCTGCCACAAAGGTCTCCCCAAAATCGCACTTCCATGTGTAGCAAGATACACATAATTTGACCTAACAAAAATCCAAAGCATAAAATTCATATTCTATTACAAATACATTTTAAAAAAAAAAAAAAAAAACTTACTTTTCAACATCTGGTGTAGCCAAAGGATCATAAATTTCCTCCCTTTGTTCCACAGGTGGTGCAACACCTCCCACAACACCCATGTCCTGACCACCTTCACCCTAAATATTATAATCCATAAATAAAATATTATATTTTCGCATTTTTTAAAAATGAATTACAAAAAAAAAATTGGAAAATGGAAATCATGTATCTTGCCTGTTGAGGATACTGCATATAACCACCATATGCAGCACCATAAGCATACAATGATGGATCTTGAGTTGCTCCATAACCATAAGCATCATACCCTTGACCATAACCATAATACGCGCTCCCCCATTGACTTTGATCCGCCTGTTGACCCCACATTCCAGATGGATCCTACATTTTAATTTTCACAAATTCCGTAAAAAAAAAAAACAATTCAAACAAAGAAAAGGTAATAATATGTTCACCTGTTTAGCAGCTGTGCTTTTTCCCCAAGAAAGGTGGACTACAGTTTGACCAATTTGACTTCCATGCATCCTTTGAATTGCTTCTTCAGCAGATGTTCTACAGGAAAATAGGAATTAACTTTTTACAGTTTTTTCATGTATCGAGTTTTTTTTTTTTTTGGCAAATTTAAGACTTACCTGTTGACAAACTGAACAAACCCGCATCCTTTAGCTGTAGGAATTTTGACATAAACTATTTCACCAAATTGCAAGAAAATCGACCTCAATTCCTCCTCTGCAACACCAGGGTCAAGATTGCCGATATAAACCTGCAATAAGTAATAACAATAAGGAAGAAGAAAGTTATAAAGAAAATGGACATAAGGGTATAAATAAAAATAGTCAGACTTACAGTTGTGTTTGTTGGATCAGTGTCAACAGGAATAGCAGCCACTGTAGCTGGATATAAGCCTGATAAAACAGATTCAGATGAGAATTTTACAATATGATTAACAGAAGAAGAAGATAGTAAATACAATACATGAATACACTACCTTTTGGTGCTACGTATTGTTGTTGGAAGGCTGTGGTCTTCTTTGGTGTTGCTGCGCTGATTCTCATTGGTCTAGTTGAGCAATAAATCCCATTCATTTCACTCATGGCACGATTTCTTTCCATTTCGTCTGCAAATTTAACAAAACCGTATCCTTTTGAGCGTCCTGTGTTGGGATCTGTGACGACTTTGGCGCCTCTTACAGATGGATATTGAGTGCGAAAGGTTTCTTGCAGTAAATGATCGGTAACATCTGGTGCTAAATCGCCTACGAAGATGGAATGTTCAGGGCCAGCATCAGGGCGTCGTTCTCCGATGCCTGAAGATGCCCAATTTAACCTAAAACTTAATTCTGTTCCTGGGATTTGTGTTCCGTTGTATGATTGTAGAACCCTTTCTGCTGTTGAATGTGAAGCGAACTCCACAAATCCGTAACCTTCTGGAAGCCCTGTTGCTTTGTTACGGATTACTTTTATCGAAAGCACCTACAAAGGAAGCTATGATCAATTTTTGGGCCTCTAAAAAACCCTAAAGGCCATAACAGACGTAGACATAAAAACGATTTGGTGAACAGTGTATGTGTGTGTGTTGGGGAGATGTAGTTAAGAATTAGAAGGACCTCGTTGGTGGCGGCGAACCAGGAATGAAGGTAGGATTCGTCAGCCCAGTAGGGTAAATCACCAATCCATAGGGTACGGATTTCTTCGTGAGAGGAGGGCTGGTGGTAGGGTTGCGGCGGAGGCGGTGGCGCTCCGTAAGCATACTGCGGCTGTGGCTGTGCGCTCATCATCCATTGTTGTTGCCCACCTTGTGCTTCCATCTTCCTTCTCTATGGGTGTCTGCTGAATGTCCTGAATGTGATGGAAGGCTCTATTCGCTCTTGCAATTTTGGCTTTTGGGGGTGGGTTCGTTGTTTTCACTTTTTTTAAATTATTCCAAAAAAAAAAAAAAAAATCTTTTAATGAGAAATTGTATTTACTTTATCATATACTAGCAGTTTATCCGCGCAAAGCAGCGGGGCGTGTAAATTCTTTCGGTGATATGTTTCCTCTATAAAAATATTATGTTATAAAAGAAAGTACATATCGAAGACAAAATAATAAAACTATGGTGTTATTTGGGAGATGGGGTCATTTTTTGTTCCTGAACGGTGAACTTTATAGCAGAGGAAGGAACAAAGAGGTATATGCGATTGGAAGGATATTTGAATCAACATGTTAAATTTAAGGATATCCAAAAGGGTTCAAAATTTGAATGAATCCGGGATTTGAGGGAACCATATCAAATTGCTGAGAAATATAAGGAGATTTGATGATAAGTATTTGAATTCAAAACTTGGTTAAAATTTAATATTATTTTATCAATGGTTACTTGTACTATGAGCTTCATCATTTAGACGTCTTAAAAAAATATTATTATTATAATCAATCTATTTTTATAAATAGTTAGATTTCTTTTATAAGATAGTAAAGATAAGTATATATCTATAAATTGTCCCCTTTTAGGGAGGGAGGCGAATAAGGTTTTGTTTAGTATGTTTTGTTTTGTTTGCACGATTTTGAGGAGGGGTGTTCAAAAAAACCGTAAAACTGAAAAACTGAGCCGATCCGGTCAATCCAAAACCGAAAAAACCGACTATCTACGAGTTGGTTTCGGTTTGCATATTTCGATATCCGTGGATACCCGAACCGAACGTCATTGATATATATATATATATATATATATATATATATATATATATATATATATATAGAGAGAGAGAGAGAGAATGTGTGTTAGGTTCATATATAAACCTTAATTATTGTGTGAATGTTTGAACGAATGGAAATTTAAAAAAATAATAAATTATTAATAAAACAAATAAAAGTTAATTTTGGAAGTTTACATATAATTATTTTACTAACCAAAAAATGAAATCGTGTATTTTCCTTAAATAATGGTTTCGATTACAAACTTTATATCTTTATCCACTTTTTGAATTTGATGATTTCGATTCCAAAAGTTCAACACAGACCAAAATTTTTCAGAGCAAAAGTTGCAGATCAAAAAAGAAAAACTATGTGAAAACAATTATTCTTCAAGAATAAAAATTTAATTGTGACATGGAAAACGGTAAATCAATCTCCAAAAAAAATGACCTGAAAAGTTAATTTCAAAACAATTAATTTGTATTCTTAAAGAATGCACACATTTAATATACAAAATCAACCAAAAACGATGAAAGTGTTCTTATAGAATTTTCAATATGCAGAATTTATTATATCATATTCTTATAGAATTTTCAATATGCAGAATTTATTATATCATATTCTTAAAGAATGCACGTACAATACTTTAAGAGGGTTGCTTTATTGTATTTTTTTACGAATGTATTCTATTATTTTTCAAAATCTTATATTATTCTTCAAGAATTTGTCCAATTGTATTTAATTTTTTAGTTTTCACGAAAGGTTTTTTTTTTAAGAATGTATCTATTATTTTTAAAGAGATATGTGCACTTATAATTTATTACTTATTCTTCCAGAATGATAATGATAAGAATAAAGTTGAATTACATCATTCGAGACGTTCAAATCGATCTTTAATAAAAACGTATTTTTTCATAATGATAATGATAATAAAACTGAATTTTCAAAGCATTTAAAAATATTAATTTGTATTTTTTTTTTTTAGATTTAGTTTTTTAGTAATTAATGTGACTTAGTTGCCTAAAATATTTGTAATTCACTTAATAAAATATCTTAGTTTTCTCTACAATTAATTAAGGATAATTATATAATAATTCTTAGTCCATGTTAATACCATGTTCCTTACAGTCACATCTCTTCGTTATTTTTAATCTAATGGTTATAATTTTGTCAAATATTAATACAATAATTGTGATTCATATTTAATTATAACCATATATATATATATATATATATATATATATATATATATATATATATATATATATATATATATATATATAAACTTAAAAAAATAATAAGAATATGGTTCCAGTGTTCCATGCTCAATAAAAAAAATTATTTGATTCATAATACCACATACAATCTAATTGCCCAAACAGAACACAATTTATGGTTAATTTTATTATTATAGTTATTATATAAACTATAATATATAATTTGAACTTCAACAACTATTATGATTTGATGACTTACCAATAGTTTATATTTTTAGTTAATAGTTTCGACTTTTTGTATTTAGCGGGTATCCGTGAACCGAACCGTGGTTACTCGCCTTTATACGGTTCGGTTCGGTTCGGTTTTTTTCATAAATCGGTTAGGTTTCGGTTATTGCGTGTTAGGTACCCGCCTCATGGTCACGGTTCATAATTTTTTTACTATTCGAACCGAACCATCCCGTAAACACCCCAAATTTTGAGAGAACACTATTAATTTTTATTAAAAAGATGGTTTTATTTATTTGTAGGGACAGTAAACTTGCCAACATACAAAAGTATATACACAAAACCATAAAACATTCCAATTTATGAAAGTTGAAGGGGTGGAAAATGTTGATGTTTAAATTTGAAGGGATAAAAGTGATGTTTTACAGAATAAAGGAGTCAAAAGTGACATTCTACAAAGTAGGGTGGAAAGTGCCAACATACAAAATTATAAGGATCAAATCTATTAACAAAATAAGCTTTTGTGGCCAAAGTGTGGAGCTACAAACACTATACTCAAGGGACTAAATATGTAACAAAAAAAATGTGGCTAAAGTACGAAATATAAAACATGTGTGGCCAAAGTACGAAATGCATATTTACGAGGACGTTTGTTTTAATATACAGTATAATTAGGTTTTATTAGAAAAAATATATTATTTTGGAAAAAAAATTTTGACAAGGTCTTAAATATTTTTTTAAAAGAAAAGTATTTTATCCAAATTAACAAAAAAATCTTTATTTTTATTTTAACAAGAAATAAAAAATTATTGTGTAAAATTAAATAATCGAGACTTTTCTATTCAAAAAAAAAAAAAAAAAATAGATCGGACTTTATAAAAAAATCTCATAATAATAAAACTTTTCTGTGTAAAACCCTTTATAATTTTGTCACGAAATAATTATAGAATATATTTCATATATTTTAGTGAGACAATACTCAGTAGTGTATACTTAAAAAAATTAATAAAATTTTAAAATCTAATGATTAAAACAAATTCAATTATACATATGTTATCTACTTTGGAATGTATAGAGTAATGAACATCTTTACCATTAGACGATGTTAGTGGAATAAAAGATGAGGACCGAACTTATGTGTTATTTAGTTAAAATAGGGTTTAAAGCCCCATTTTCTAAAGGGCCCCTCAATGTCGATATTTGTCTTTCTCCAACTCCATTCGCTGATTACTGATACACACACATACTCAAAAATCAAAAGAGATGTTCTGACTTCTGTTCTCTTCCTTTCTTCTCCATTCTCGTTGTCGTTGATTGTCTGATTGAATGGACTGATTATCGATTTATGCTTCTCCAATCTCAATTCTTGAACATTGAAAGGTTGCCTAAACCATTGATTGTTGAAATACCTTCACCATTCTTCATCCTTCTTTATTCTTAGCTTCTATGATGAATTTATTTGATTACCCATTGTTCAAAAATCTTAAATGATTCAATCAATTGATTCAAGGAACATGTAGTTAGTGTTTTCACTTGATTTTTTCATTGTCTAATTATCTATTAGGCTTAATAGCCAATTAGGTTTAAATTTTCCATTACATGATTTTTCATTGTTCTTTGTTCATTGATTAATGCTCGATTTCTTTGTTTCTGTTTGATTTTTGTTTTTTAAGTTAGTGTTTCCAGTCGATTTTTGCTTTGCTGACTTGCTGTTTGATTTTTATGTTTCCTTTTTTAATTATAAAATCATGCAACTTAAGTTCTTTTGTTTTTACATCGCAGTATCACACCTAAGCAAAGTATGTAATGTAACCTGAAGCTAAGGCCTAAGGAATGTTGGTTATTGTCTTATTGATTGATTTCTTTGTGTCTTGTTCATTGATTTGTGTGTTAAGTTGTGCATAGATTTGAATTATATAAAAGAAAAAACAACAACCTTCACTTTAAAATAGAAAAGGCCCCATTTTCTACCCTACTTCAACGGTTTCATGAATTATAAGTGAGTTCATGGCCCCATTTTCCAAACTATTTCAAGGGGAATACAAGTTAAAAATGCATCTATTACGTAGTTATTACTAATTATAATAAGATAATCATGTTCGTGATAGTAGGATGATATTATGTCTGATAAATAATGTGTCCAAACATTTTAGATAATATTATGCCTAGTTGTTATAACGATTCATGCTACTAGATAATATCATACCTAGTTGTCACGTTGGCCAATTGCCAGGAAACGCTGAAACACTACACACTATTATAGACACCCTTTGGATAAAGCTTAGCACCTAGTCTTACTTTGCCCAAATACTCGCTACACTAAACACGCTAACTAGAATGATTCCTAGTCGATACGTTGGCCAGTTACCAGGAAATACAAAATACTCTAGCCACCCTTTGGATAAGCTTAGTACCTAGTATTACTCTGCCTAAATAATCAGCTACGCCAACACACCAACTCAAAGACATATATATATATATATATATATATATATATATATATATATATATATATATATATATATATATATATATATATAAGATAAATAATATAAATAATAAGTATTGACAATGAATATAACAACGAATGACAACATGGCCGACCAGGGGAGGCCCCCACATAACAAGAGTTAAATGAGACAATTTATCAACACGCTGAAAGATTTCCAGCTAGCTCTCGGCCTATAATCGTTAAATCTTAAGTGAGCGGAAGAGATATGTATAGATATATATGGGATTGACATTCCCACATGTGGTTTCTAACTACAACCTGAAGGCATGTC